ATTAGCTATCACTACTGGAAATTATGAAATTTCCGACCACCTGAAAGTGATCTTAAATCAAGTCAAAAGTCTTGTTCCGATCACTTTTGGTATCCGGAAAAACCTTTGTTGCTATTTTCGACCACTTTTTGGTATCAACTTGATTTAAGATCACTTTCAGGTGGTCAGAAATTTCATAATTTCCACTAGTGCATTATCTTGAACAAGAGTTAATTGATATGACATTCTACCCAAAATAACCTCTGATAATGTTGCTCTAAGGGAGCGTCTGCTTTACCCGGCCCTATTGCCGGGTATTCATCTTCTATTTCTTGGAGTATATGTTTTTTTGTTGATGAACTTTCATTTGATGTTATCAAGTTGTCAATTATTTGCTATAGGCTATGAGTGCTAAAACATGAAGTGAATTTCTAGAATATATTGTCAAGAGCATATTATGTGGTATCTTATTTTTCGGTTTCATACTACAAAAACAGTGACATGGTATTGTAAAATTGCACATGTTATTGTTATTAGGACTAGTATTAGGACTCTATGTATTTGAGTCACATTAGAGCATCCACATTTGTTGGGGGAGAATAGGGGGATAATGTAAGAGTGATTAGGAAAGAGAAGATGGGAGGGGAGAAAAAAAAAAGAAAAAAAAAAGGAAAATTAAATTTTAAAAATAAATAAATAAATAAAATTCAGACTGTCAGGGGCTTTTGTGGTGGGTCCCACCATTTCTGCATTATCTCTTCATTTGCAGACCAATTATTTCTCACATTATCTCTTCCCCACATTAGTTATTATCTTGGGTTGGGGAGAATTCATTCTGAAATATCTCCCTATTATCCACAAATGTGGATGCTCTTATGACTCCTTATCCTAGTCTCCCTATGATTCCTACTCCTTATCCTAGTCTCTGTGTGATTCCTCTTGTATATATTCCCCTAGTCTGTACAATTGTTATACAGTTCATTCAATACCGTTTTATACCGTTATCATCGTTATTAAACTTTAACTTGCTCATGTGATAATTAATTAGATGATTTGAGTCTTAATGTTGTGATCTAACTCACACCCTATGTGCTAAGTAGGGTTATAGCATGAATATTGAATACAACTTTGCTAAAAAGGCGAATATAATACCAATAATTTCACATCTTATAAATGAAGTTGTACATATAGGTTGATTTTTTAAATTTTTTTTTTTAAAAGATTGCTGAGTACTATAAACTTTTTTTTTTTTGAAAGGAGTACTCTAATAATTTCATTTAATGTGTACTCTAATAATTTTATTTAATGTGTATAATGTCACTAAAGGTCCATTGTTTTTGGTGGTACGTAATTCGAAATTTAGTCCCAGATTATTGTTTTTGTCTAACATCCCAAACTATTGATGGTGATACACCCTTCATACTTATTAATTGAGCCCTAAATAGTTAGGTCAAAAATAAATATTGAGGCCTTGTGTTGTTGCCCATCTTATACGCCCTAAAATCCGGCCATGTATACAACCCAAGGAGTTGGAATCAATAGTTATATCATGTATCAATATCAACTCACATTATTTTTAATTTACATCGATCAACTTGAAAAGAATGCAAGTGTCATGATGGTGATGGAGAAGTAACTATATTTTCATTGAAAGAGAATCTCTACTATACAATTCATACTTTTTTGGGAATTGTAAAAGAATGAATATTACAACTTATTTTGGGCACCGCTCCCTAACCTAATATTCTCTCTGCGAGGGGTTTCCCTCATCCTCCATTGATCGGCCACCTCCGCTCGTTTTGCGGAGGCGACGCCAGCCTCCTCTCGTTTCTTCTCCTACTCCGACCATCTCTCAATCGCCTGTCCTTCGGCCTCTCCTCCGCTGCCGACACCTCTTCTCGCCTCTCTTTCACCGCCACCATCTCCTCCAGCGCTCACCATCATTTCTTCCTCCTTCACCACCGTCTCTCGCCATCTCCAACTCTAGATCCAAGCTTCTTTACCTTTTTTCAGCGGTTCAATAAATAATATATATATATATATATATATATATATATATATATATATATATATATATATATATACATATTAGTTAGTGGTTTGGTGTTTATGATTTGTTTTGGTTGTTTTAAATTTGATTTTCATATGTTATTTTGTTAAAGTTATTCCCTCTCGTTTCGTTTGCGAGTTATTTCCTTTCGTGTCTTCAGCGAGTTTTTCTCTCGTTTATTTGGCGAGATCGTTTTTCATAAGGTGAAACAATTTATCCGTGGAGTATGTTTGCTTCATCCCGAGCACCGAATTGAAGAAGATCTGAACCTTGATATGTAGTTCAGATTAATGGAGATATTGTCTATGGACAGAAGAGCCACAATAGAGTCAGACTTGGGTAGCAAGATCATTAACAATATCAAAGAAGTTTCAGGTTCTCCAAACGAATTCAGCTTCAATCTTGAAAAACAGTCAGAGATTCAAGTTTCATGTAGCATTGGAAATTTGTTTCAATGTATGATTGTAAGAATATTTTATCATTTCATCGATTTTATTGTAAACTTTTCATCGTGATTAATGAATTAGCTCTTTTATTTCAAAAAAGAAGAAGAAAAAAAAAAGAGAAGGGAATTGTACTAGTACAAACAACATCACTTTTAAATGTAAGACAAATGCTGCTTATATGCCTTGTAACTCTGATTTTTCTAACTATATGTGTATATTTTGAGAATCATTTTTTCATTCACTCATTATTAATTTTAAGCGAACAATATATCAATTTATTTAGAATAATCCGATCTACTTTGATTTGACCAAAATCAATAGTAAACTCCACATATATTTATACCATAAAATAATTACTCAAAATATAAATTTTGTTAATATTCCCAGCACTTTACATGTTGTATCCTCTTGCATTTATTAACCCACTATCATCTCCTTTTTCCTTGCTAATTTGCAATTGATCAGTCACTTCACTGGATCACAGAATCTCCACTTTCCCCCCTTTTTTTTCCACCTTTTTTTTTATCAACTTCTTTTTCCCATTTTTGTTCAGGCTCTGTTTGGCAAACCTAGCTGAAAAGGAGCTAAAAACTGAAAAGCTATAAGCTCGGAGCTGAAAATTGAAGAGCTGTTAAGCTAGCTGTTATGATTGAAAGTGTTTGGTAAAATTAGATTTTTGATAAGCTGATAAATGTAAAAAGACTAAAAAGGACATCTTCATAAAATTTAAATTAGTTTGTTTACATATTAAAATTTAACAGTGCATCTTCCAAAAAAAAAAGTAAACATTTTTTTAAAATAAAACTATTAGCGTGATCATGATCTAGCATCCCATAATGAAGTAGCAATATTGTCATTGGTTGAAGCCATATTGCTAATTTAAAAATAACATTAATAATAATAATAATAATAATAACAATAATAATAATATTGTAATAATAATAATAATAACAATAATAACAATAACAACAACAACAACAGTAGAAGAAGAAGAAGAAGAAGGGATTGACGTGAAAGTTGGGATAGAGGAAGAGAAAGGGTTTTAATTCATAAGGTTAAAATATGTCATTACTTTAAAATAATAAGGGTAAAGATTAAAAAAAAAAAAAAAATCAGGAAGCTAGTAGCTTATTTTGAAACGCTACCTAAAGTAGCGTTCCAAAATAAGCTCTTATTTTAAGCTAAAAGCTTATTTTGGGAACATTACCAAACAGAGCTTATAGCTTATTAGTAGCTTAAAATAAGCTATAAGCTCCTAGCTTAGCATTGCTAAACAGAGCCTCAGTAGTAACTAGTAACCAAGGATATCGCCCCTTTTCTTGGGTGCGATGGCATCCCTTCCGCATTTATTTTTTCATAAATTTGTCCATAATTATACCATGGATTAATGTTCATGTTCAAATAATTCTTAACTTTTCTCTCGATGTATCGAATTAAAACTTTTATAAACTTTAAAACTTTAAAAGTATTTCATAAAGATTTTTAGGGAGTTTTTAAAAGATGATATAATATCTGATTTATATTTTTAAAAGCCGAGTGATATTTGAAATTCATCTTTCAAATCCCGAACTTTTAAAAATTCTGTTTGCCTTTTTACCTCTTTTTTTTTTTTTTTTTTTGTATGGTTGCCCCTCCGGTTGATAGCCAGAAGACTAATCTCCATCTCCCGTCCCTGGTTTGCTCCATTCACTACATGGGTGAGGATTGAAGCCCCAACCTCATGCAGTGACTGGCCAAATGGTTTGTTCTATTTACATGGGTGAGGATCAAATCCCCAACCTCATGCTTAAGAAACAATGTATTGAACCACCACACCAACCATGTTGGTTACCTTTAATTTTTATCTCCTTGTTTAAGCTCTACAAACCTTCTAACATATTTATAATATAGCATCTTTTGTTCATGCCTAGATTTTATAAACTTTTTCTCAGCTAAATTATACAAACATTTCCCTTACCTAAATTCTAGAGATTATATTTTCTTTATTATCTTTGAATATTCCCAATAGAGGACTTGGTTGGGAAAACCCTTTCTTTTGAGTTAGCCACTAGAAACACACTTGCAATTGGAGATTTGTTTTTAGTATTGTGTATTGCTATTTTTCTTGCAATATTATATAGTTTTGTAAAAATTGAAACTGTCTTTAAATTTATAATACATTGTTTTTGTGGCAATTAAATTTTATTTTTATTTTTATAATAAAAAAAAAACAATACATAATCTTAAAAAATGACATATTATAAAGGTTTCTGCAAGAAATATAATACCTATGTTCGAAATGTAGTTTTTTGTTGGATGAAAAAGTTTGGTCTAAAAACATGTGTTTTTAGCTATGAATTATTATGAATTAAGGCAAGGCATAAGATTAAGTTCAAAGTAATAATTTCATACACTTCCATTCTGCATTGCTTTCTATCTAACATTTTAAAGCAAGTCTTACAGCGTAATAAAATGGTACAGTATAGAATAAGTAGAAAGTGTCTTGGAGTTTGCACTTTGCTGTGCACTAAAGTACTAAAAACATCGCAATAAAGAACATGGGAAGGCATATTAATTAAAATAGCACACCACAATAGTCCACAATAGTACCCACGACCAATCAATACAATAAAAGCACAATTCGATCCGCATGAGCAGCTCTATTGGTCACAATAAAAACACAACGACTCTGAGTGTAAAACTCTGCATGCCCGCCACCCTTTTAATCTTCAACCACAAAGGCCGGTAAAATGCCACAGCTTTACACATCTAATTAATACAAGAGTCACACTTGTGTGAGTTAATCTGTGAGACTGTCTATGATAATTATTTGTTACTTATATATGATAGATATGATAATATATATCACAGAAAATTCAATACTAAATGAAATAAATAAATTGTTATTTATAATTGATATTGTAATATTTATATGTTAAATTGTGATACTATTAGGATAAAATGATTGTTGCTAATGATAAATATTGTAATATATATACTTACAAATGTAATTCTAATGGTTACTTATAAAAGAAATTGTAATGCTTACCAAATTGAATTAAGGGGAAATCGCACTTTTGGTCCCTCAATTAGTGCCCAATCTGCAATGTCTCATTAGTTCCCAATTTGAACACAATTGGTCCCTCAATTATTTGACCATTAAGCAGATTTGGTCCTTCTGTAAGACCATCAGTTTAACTCCGTTTAAATCAGGGGTATAATTAAAATTTCACATGAGTAAGAATTGAAAGTAGTCTAGCCATCAACATAGCTGTGATTTCCAGTGATGATGGTCTGGTTAATGCCGTCGCCGATCATCATCAAGTATTTCTTGTTCTTGGCAATGGAGACGTATTCCTCGTACACGTCGGCAATCACGTATACGAGGAAGTAGCCGCCGTTGGACAGAGTGTTGTTGGGAGCAGCGGCGACATCGTCATTAATGGTGGTAAAATTTCCACTCCCATATTGACTAACAACCACAATGTCAGTCACCAGAACCTGGTCATCTTCCTGAGTTTGCAGGAGCTTTCTCCGGCTAACTCGCTCGAAAATAGCCTTCATCCGTTTCGACATCTCCAGAGGCAAACGCCTGTTCCAGAACCCAAGCTGTTTCTTGGTCGGACGCCCAAGCTCCGGCGCTGGCGGCCTTCTTCTTCCTCGGCACCCGCCCTTTAGTGAACAGAGCCAGAGAAACACTAAACAGCCGCGTGTCGTTCGCCAGCCGATGCCACGATCCCATTCCTAACTCTCCAAGACGACGACGTCGCTTGCAGGTTGTCTATACACGTCTGCGTGTTGGTGAGAATGGCGTTGAGGAATGTTTGCACGTCGTCAGCTTCCAACACCGGGAGATACTGGGAAGTCCCTTTGACAGTCTTGAAAGAACTGGAGAGATAATCCATGTTTAAACCGGCGAAGAACTCGCAATCCTTGAGAGCTCGAACGGCGATGGTGGTTAACGACTTTGAATTGTAGCGAAGGTTCTTCTGGATCAACGACAGAAACTTGCGCGCAACGGTTAAGGATTTGCAGACGGAGAATCGGTCATAGTCGTAGACATTGGAAAAAGAGTGGTTGCTGGGGAGAACAATTTGGCAGTAAGATGGGTAGGGAGTGAACTTGCAAATGGTGGATGTCGAGACATTTCTCGACGGTGGCAGAGCATCTGCGGCGGCGAAAATAACAACCAGGCAGAGAAAGGGTAAAAATTAGCTTGTTATATTCAAGGCTATGTGAAATTTCAATTATACCCCTGATTTAAATGAAGTTAAACTGATGGTCTCACAGAATAATCAAATCTGCTTAATGGTCAAATAATTGAGTGATCAATTGTGTTCAAATTGGGAACTAAGGATGATATTGCAGATTTGGCACTAATTGAGGGACCAAAAGTGCGATTTTTCCTACTTATTATAGACAATGCTATGTGAAATTCCACTTTTAACCATGCTTTAAACGGTGTTAAACAGCCATACAGACAGAAGGACCAAATCTGCTTAATGGTCGAATAATTGAGGGACCAAATGTGTTCAAATTGGGAACTAAGGATAACATTGCAGAATGGGCACTAATTGAGGGACCAAAAGTGCGATTACCCCTTGAATTAAAATAAATCCTTACTTATATGATAGTAGATATTGTAATACTTATATGTGAAATTGTGATACTATCTAGGGTAAATTAATTGTTACTAATAATTAATATTTTATGGAATAATATTTATAATTGAAATTATGATACTTGCATACCTAGTCATCTACCATTTGACCTCTCTCACACAAGTTTTTGCCATAATGAAAAAAATGTCTTTGAAAGAAATTGAAAACGTGAAGTTGAGTTTAGAGCATCACCATCTGTAGTTATTTTGAAGATAATATCAGATGAATTCTCCTTGGTTGAAGATAATAACAAATGTGAGAGTGAATGAATTGAGAAATAATTCTCCTGCAACAACCCACATAATGTCAGAATTATTTCAGAATTAAAAAAAAAAAAAAAAAAAAAGAAGAAAGATAGTGGGCAATTGAGAGTGGCCGCCAGCTGGCGGCCACTCTCAATTTAATTACTTTTTGCCGTTGCTGGCCATAGCAACGGCCAAAGTCCGTTGCCAGCAACGACCATTTTCCGGCCGTTGCTGGCAACAGATTGTATATATTTTTTTAAATTTTAATTATTGTTTATTTATATTTTGCTCTTTTTTAAATTTTAATTATTGTTTATTTATATTTTGTTCTTTTTTATTTAAGTAATTAATTTTAATTATTATTTTGTTTTGTAATTACCTTATAAATTTTTATAATATTGCCAACTTTTTATTATTTTCTTTTATTTTTTATTTTATTTTATTTTACAATTCACTATTTTTATTAAAATTATAAATTTATAAATAAAATAGATAAAGAAATTATTAAAATATAATAGGTTAAATGGTGGGTCCATAAAAAACTGAGAAATAACTTAAAACTGATGTGGAGAAGGGTTTTTTGTGATTGAGTGAGATAATGGATGATGAGGTGGATGTTGGGGCCCACAAATAACTAAGAAATAACCCCAACTGATGCGGATGCTCTTAGAAAATAAAGGGAGATTTAATTTAAATAATACCTGTACCACTCGATCTGCAATATTAATTTGTTCTTCTGGCCTTGGCATGCCTTCTCTTCCATGTGAGTTTCCATAGCAACCAGTTGAGTTTTCCATATTGCAGAGCAAAATATCCCACACAAACTCCAAATGGAAATGAACAGCAATATCCTATCGTCACGCTCTGCCAAGAAAATCCATTAAAAAAACCCGAATCCTCATCTTCTTCTTCTTGTGACGGCACATGTGGTTTTCTGCTGGCTTCACATTCCAGAGACAATGGAAAGCCACACAGTGCTGTGTTTCCCAGGTAGGAGTCATTGCCAATTGTATCAAGTTGCCCGCTGCGGGGAATTGCTCCCAATAAATGATTATAGGAGAGGTTCAGTACTTCCAGAAATCCAAGCTTTGACAGTTGCCATGGAATCTCCCCTGTGAGCTGGTTGCAAGACATGTCTAGCGCTTCAAGCAATGTTAGATTTCCCAATGATGATGGTATATGGCCAGTTAGCCTATTATGAGACAGATTGAGATGCCGGAGGAAACGAAGGATTCCTATTGAAATAGGAATGTCTCCATCAAACATGTTACTTGATAAGTCTATGAGTGTGTAAAGGGATAGAATTTTTTCCACGGGAAGCTCAAACCCTTTCACCACTAGCATTACAGTGCCTCCAAAAGCGTAATTGAAATGGCTTGTAAAGTATGTTACTTCTAAATCAGGAGTAATATCATTTATAATCCCAGTAAAATGCTGGAAATAACATTTAGGCAAATGTCCAGTGAAGTGATTGTTGGAAAGATCAAGAACTCGCAGCATAGGGAATGGAATCTTGTTGGTAGGATTGCCTATCACCCCATGAAAATGATTACAACTTAAGATGAGCACTGCCAATTGTGGGTGAGCATCTAACCAGTGTGGGAATGAGTCATTTAGCCCATTGTTTCCAACATCAAGAACTTGGAGAGCTGTACAGTTGAGCAGAGTACGAGGTAATGGTCCTTCGAATTCATTAAATTGCAAGATGAGAACTTGCAGAACGTCACCCTTTAAAGCTTCTTCTGGAATGTTTCCATAAAATTGATTCATGCTTAAATCAAGTAGCGACAATGTTGTGCTTAGATTTCCCAAACACGAAGGAATAACACCACTCAAACTATTAAGAGATAGGTCAAACAACTCGAAAGAGGTTGAACTGCAAAACTCTCTATGCATAGCACCATGCAAATTATTATTTTCAAGACGCAAGAATGAGAGTTGATTGCTAAAATTTCCCAGGCACGTTGGAATGAGACCACTCAAGTAATTGCTTGACAGGTCAAGCAAATGAAGGTGGCATGCATTGCAGAGTGATTTTGAAATACCCCCGTGAAACTGATTGCCATTAAGAAAAAGAAATTTGATATTCGTGTTGTTTCCCAAGCATTGTGGAATATGTCCATTCAATTTGTTATAAGCTATGAAAAGGCCTGAAAGAGATGTGAGATTGCAAAAGATTGATAAGGTCTCAGGTCCGTGAAGCAAGTTGGAACTTATGGAAACGGCAGATAGTGATGTTAAATATCCTACTTCCCATGGTAATGTCCCCCTAAGATAGTTATATGTAAGACCTAGCCCATAGAGCTCTGTCAAATTTCCAATTGTTGAAGGAATTACACCAGAGAGGTGGTTTTTCGAAAGGAGGAGTTCAAACAACTTATTCAAATTCCCAATGTTTGAGGGAATGCAACTGGTTATTATTTAGGAGAAGATATTCAATTTGTGTCAATGAACTAATTTCAGAGGGAATCCTTCCAGAGAAATTATTGCTATCTATAGACAAGAAAATTAATTGTGTCCAGTTGGCGATGAGGTGTGGTACTAACTCACCTGAAAGTCTGTTAGAAGATAAATCTAACTCAACTAGTTTGGAAAGATTGGCCATGCTGGGAGGCAACTCGCCTGTTAGAGTGTTATTTTCAAGATACAAGATTTCAAGATTTGTGCATAGCCCAAGTTCAAAGGGAATCATAGAATTCAGTTGATTCATTCCAAGAGAAAGAAACTGAAGATGTTTAAGGCTTCCGATGGAAGGCGGAATCTTCCCCTGAAATGAATTATAATTTAGGCTTAGTACCCGAAGGCTATTCATGGAGCCAATTTCAACTGGAATTGTTGAATTAAGTAGATTAAATCCAAGAGCAAGATACTGAAGATGTTTGAGATTTCCTATGGAAGGTGGAATATTCCCAAGAAATGAATTATTGATCAATTTTAGGACTTGAAGATTGGTGATTGAACCAATTTCTTCTGGAATTGTGCCAGAAAGGTTGTTGTACGAAAGACTAAGAAATTTAAGGTTGGACAAGTTGGTAAGACTAATGGGAAAAGGTCCTTGGAAGAAATTGTTACTAAGATCAAGATGCTCCAGCTTCTCTAACTTGGAAAACATAGACACTGGGATTTGACTGGTAAAATGATTTTTTGACAAATCAAGATAAGACAGGTTTGTACAACTCTTTATCAAGTCTTGTGGAAAATTCAAAGTGAACTCATTAGCATGGAGGTTGAGATGCTTCAACAAAGGCATAACATGGAATTTAGACCAATTCGGAGTTTCCAGGTTATTCACTCCCAGATCCAGATAACTTAGGTTTTGGAGATTGCTAATTTCAAATGGAATCACGTCCTCTAGAAAGTTTCTGAAACAACTAAAGTACCTGAGTTGTGTCAACTGCCCAACTTCTACTGGTATTGTCCCGGTGAAGTTGTTATTGCTCAAGTCCAGAAAAGTGAGCATAAGGAGGGTGCTGATAGTAGATGGGATCGCTCCGCTCATACTATTGTTATTGAGATTGATGCGAGTAAGATTAGGAAGTAAGGAAAAAGCGAGTGGCTCAAGTGTACCTCTGATGTTTCCATGAGGGAGATTGAGCTCTGAAACAGAACCAGCGGAGTTGCAGATAATGCCCTCCCAACTACACACATTTGTGAGGTTATTGACAGACCAGGAAGAATCCAATAAAGAAGTAGATGATGATGATAGGCCATTGATCTTCCATTGTAAGAGAGCTTCAGCTTCTTCTTTGTTTGCATGTAAGGGTGCGGTGTTTAGTGCAAGCAAACAAAGGATGTGAAAAAGAAGAGTGAAAAAGAAGATTCTCATCATGGTTTGGTTAATAGTAATTCAATAAAGTGGATGATGAGAAGCAACGCCCGCTTCTATGTGATCCTATATATAGCGGATTTAGAGTTAATAAAGTGGAAAAATAAATAATTTTTGTGGATGAGGAAGAGTAGAGGGTACGTAGGCTAGGTTAATATTAAGGTGACAGTCTTTTTGATCGTCTGCTCTGATCTCCAGAGTTTCTTTATTCTCATTTTCATTATTGTCACTCTTATTACATCCCTTCAATATGTTTGTTCTTTAACTTTTTTCTTAAGACGTACAATAAGATAAAATACGTACTCTCTTGTAACTTTGTAAGTTCTTACTTTTTAATTTATAATGAATTGTTCCGACGCAATATATATTAGTATAAAACTTCTTAAATATTTAGTTTCTATAGAGTAGTTATGTCGTGTAACCTATGTTCATAACTACTGAACTCTATGTTCATAATTATAAAATTTTATGTTCATAATTATAAAACTTCATATTCACAATTATTGAATTCTATATTCACAATTACAGAATTATATGTTCATAATTATAAAACTCTATGTTCATAATTTTTGAACTTCATATTCACAATTATTGAACTCTATATTCACAATTACATAACTCTATGTTCATAATTATAAAACACTATGTTCATAATTATAAAACTTAATATTCACAATAATTGAATTCTATATTCACAATTACAGAACTATATATTCATAATTATAAAACTCAATGTTCATAATTTTTGAACTTCATATTCACAATTATTGAACTCTATATTCACAATTACAGAACTCTATGTTCATAATTATAAAATTCATAATTTTTTAACTTCATATTCACAATTATTGAACTCTATATTCACAATTATTGAACTCTATATTCACAATTACAGAACTCTATGTTCATAATTATAGAACTCTATGTTCATAATTTTTGAACTCTATATTCACAATTACAAAACTCTATGTTCATAATTATAGAACTCTATGTTCATAATTTTTTAACTCTATATTTACAATTATAAACAGTTTTGGAACCGTGTCCACCTTCCACAACATAATTTGCTGTTTCTATGCAATTTAAATATCGTCGTTTGATTCACTATGGGGTGTTTGGTAAATGGCGGTTAGCTGATTGGGTTAAGTGTTTGGCAAATTAGTCAAAAAGCTGATCGAAAAAACTCCTTTGAGTAGCTTTTTAAATTTTAGCATTTTGGAGCAATAAGTTGTTACAAAAAAACTTATATTTTGAAGGCAAATAAATTATATCGTGCACCAAGCTTCAAAATGACGTTTTGTTTAATGGCAGAACTCCGTTCCGCAACAAGTAACTCTGTTATTCAGTTTCATTTTGTATACACTGCTGTGTCAGTTCAACACAACTATAATTTCATTTCGATATAAGTATATAACTACAGTTTCATTCGATATTTATACACTCAAATATGTGAAAATGTTATTTAATTTTATTTTATATACACAATAGTTTTATTCAAATACAACTACATAATCATTTCAATATAACTACAGCTTCATAAAACAATATGCACTTAAATATGTGAAATGCTATTCAGTTTCATTTTATGTGAAATGTTATTCAATCATACTCGATTAAGTTTCTTTCAAGACTGACATATCAAACTTGACTTGGAAAAAAAAATACTTGCCTCTGTTTGAAGTCTTTTTATGTGGGATTGATCTTTTCAAATTAGTAGACAGATGATATTGAACAATTTGAAGTTTTTTTTTTCTTTTTATTTATTTTTTTAAAGTCAAACAATCCAAAAAAGGACTATCGGAAATTATGGAATTTTTGACCACCTGAAAGTGATCTTAAATCAAATTGAAAGCCTTGTTCTGACCACTTTTGGTATCCGGAAAAACCTTTAATGCTATTTCCGACCACTTTTTGCTTTCGCCTTGATTTAATATTGTTGGAATTTTTAGCTAAAAATGACATTTTGAGTGATTATTTTGTGGTACAAATATATGTGGGTCCACTTTCGATTTGGGTCGGGTCAAAGTGGATTCGGGTTCTTCGTAGTGAGACGAAGAATTTGATATAATTTACGCTCAAAATGGGTAATAGGTGAATGAGAAATTGATTCTCAAAGTGAACCTATTTGGAGAGAAGTCAAAACTTAAGTTTAAATGCTAATTAGAAATAAGCATTTTAATAACTTTCGTTGCACTGCACGAAAGTTGTAGAGCTTAAGTGTAATTAAGCTTTGGTTGCTTAATTAGTGAATTGGGATTTTTAGCACCTTTCGTGCTATGCTTTCATGCTGGACGAAAGTGCATGCAAAATTGAAAGCTTAATTATAAGCTTTAGTTTCATGCTGAAAGTTGGAGTTGTGAGCTCCTTTCGTGCTCTCCTTTCGTGAGCTACTTTCGTGCTGAGCACGAGTCAATGCTATATGCATTGATTCGTGCTGCACCGTTTCGGTGCGTGTGGACCACTCCGGTGTGGTTTCCAATCCCAATTCGTTAAACCTTCTGGTTTGTACGGACTTCTCGGTCACTCAGATATTTTGAAACGGGTAGTTGTGGTCGGTACGAATTAATCGCGTATTAAGTTCGTGACCGTTGGAATTATTACGATAATAATTACAACCGTTTCAAACGTTATTATCCAATTATTAAATCTTGGATTTATGTTGGTTAATGTGCCATGATGATGCTATTAAATCCCTTCTCCTATATAAGCTTGTTATGTTGGCAGAATGTTAACACACATGATTTTGAAAGTCTCAACAACATTTTATTTTTCTCTCAACTCTCATTCTTGGTTTCAAAGAGGAAATTGTTTGCCAACATAATTCCATAAAACATCGGAGTGCTCAACTTGTATTCTAGTTCGCCGGGCTTTGGGTTGGAGTGCTCGAACGCCAAAGTCGTAGTCCGTTTTATCCTGGGAGACTAACGCCACAACGATCCTAGCACCCCCGGGAGGCGGCGAATCGGTTTTAAGGAGAGTGTGTGTACACACGACTCGAGTTCATCTGCTTCTTCTTGTTTCTTCGCGTTGGGTTAAACCTCAGGTTAGAAACCCGTCTCTTGTTTATTTTTGTTCTTGGTTTCGGACCAAGTGGTAGGATTAATCTCGGATAGATTAAATCCTTGTACTAGTTTCGTACTAGTTGTGGTGGGATTATTTTGATAAAATAAATCCCTATTTGGCTAATATATATATATATATATATATATATATATATATATATATATATATATATATATATATATATATATATATATATATATATATATATATATATATATATATATATATATATACGCGGCATATATATGTAATTTTGGTTTCGTACCAAAATTGGTTGGAATTAATTTTTCTATAAATTAAATTCCTTTTTCGGGACAGATATATATTTTATATATATTTTGTGTATCGATTTATTCACCAGTTTCCAACAATCTTAAAACCGATTAATTTTTTTTCTTGGTGATTAAATCGATGGATTCCACGAGTGGTGGAACCGTGAATGTTGCTCGTGATGCACATTCAAATGGTCGGATCGGCAACGTAGTTGCACAATCCGAAACCCCGGTGAACTTTGGTTCGGAGACCGGTGGTGGCATCAAAGGGTATATCCCTACGATGAAGGTACATGGGACAGTACCTTGTGGATTGGTCGAAAGACCATGGAAATTCAAGGTGTTGAAATTCGAAGGGTTGCAACTTAAAATGTTGTACAACCTAATGATTCTCGGTATGTCATGGTTCTTGACCGAGATGGTTCCTAGTGGAAAGGAACATGAGTCTAACGCTCAAACCGTTAGCATAATGAGGATTTGGAAATATTTGGTTTTCCTATGCCTAAACTATGTTTTGAACGGTTTGTGTGACTCGTTGTGGGAATCTTTGGACCTAAAGTATAATAGTGATGACGCTAAGGCAAAAATGTTTGTCGTTAGCCGATTACTTGAATACAAGATGGTGGATTCCGGGATCGTCCTAAGTCAAGTTGACGAAGGAATGATCGTGAGTGAAGCCTTTCAAGTGGAATGTGGTATCCATTTGTTTCCTTTGGGCAGAAAGGACTTCAAGAAGCAATTCTACGGAAAATGCTTCAATTGTGGCATTATGGGCCACAAGTGGGCTGATTGTAAAGCACTTAAGAGGAAGAATTGTGATTCTGAATCTAACGTGGTGCGGGTCAATCAGAATAAGTCCGAAATCATCCTCTCGGCAATGGTGACCGAGGTAAACCTGGTTGGTTCGAACCAAACGGAATGGTTCATTGATACGGGTGCGACCCGACATATCTGTTCCAACCGTAAGTTGTTTACTACCTTTGAGACGACTAATTGTGGGAAGGTATGGATGGGAAACTCTGCTCAGTCTACTGTGGTAGGCATGGGCAAAGTAATTCTCAGAATGACCTCTGGGAAAGAGCTGACTCTGAACAACTTCTTGTACGTACCGGAGCTACGGAAGAACTTAGTTTCTGGTTCATTGTTGAACAAGAATGGCTTCCGGTTAGTGTTTGAGTCAGATAAGGTTGTTTTGTCGAAATCAGGAACATATGTAGGCAAGGGTTATGTGCTAGATGGGCTTTTTAAGCTCGATGCAATAACTGCGATTAATAAGAGTATTATTAATTCAGCCTACTTACTTGAGTCTTCGTGTTTGTGGCACGGTAGACTGGGTCATGTTAATTTTAATTCTATACGTAGATTAATTAACTTGGACCATATTCCTGCATTTCAAGTTGATAAGCACAAATGTGAGATTTGTGTTGAGGCAAAACAAACGAAATTTCCTTTTAAATCGATTGAAAGGAAAACGGAACCACTTGAGTTGGTTCATAGCGATGTATGTGTTTTTAGATCAATACAATCGCGCGGTGGTAATAAATATTTTATCACGTTTATCGACGATAGCACACGATACTGCTATGTGTATTTGCTTAAGAGCAAAGACGAGGCCGTCGATAAATTCATTCTTTATAAGAATGAAGTGGAAAACCAACTTAATCGGAG